TTTTTAGAGAAATGCAGGATCAAACAGATTGTCTTCATCACAACTCAAATCCAGGCATTTTGTTTCCTCAGCAACAGACACTTTTAGCATGGCACAAGATAAGCTTTGATAAATGTGACAAAGAAAAAAAAAAAACCTTTGTGACCATACCTTTTATAAGTAAATATAGAAAGAAAATGTTCCACATCCAACATTTTGAAAAAAGCATTTTACTGGCTTTCGGTACAAGACCATTAATCACCCTGTGCCATAAAAAGTTCCAGGAGTTTCAATTGACTGGATCTGACCTGCAGATATATAAATTCATTTAGTCTTTTGAACCTGGTTGTGGGCAGTTAAAAAGTAAAATCAATGAACTGCATTTTTTCTTTTAGACTCAACAGTGACCAAAACAAATTATGTCTCTTTGAGACAGAATTTCTATGAAACATTGCTTTAAAAAAAATGTAATAACAACCACAATGTTCTACAGAAACAAATTACTTTTAAACTAATGTGAATCACATTCTAAGAATCGCCAGTAACCTCCTGAGGTGGACGGTGCAACTTTGGGTGCCTAGTAGTTTGACACCCGAGTCTCTGAAAAGCTGTGTCATCTCTCTGCTTGCAAAATGAATGCTGAGATAAAATATCTTGCAGAGATCAAAGCAGAGAGCCTTTCAGCTCTGCTCTCTTAAAGGTCACCTCAATAGATAATAGAATGGGATGTCTTTGAGCAAAAGGAGTGAGATGAGGATATGGCTGAAGATGGGGTCCAACGGCGTTATAAAAAATAGGGTAAGGGGCTTACAAAACAGACTGAGTGAGATAAGTGGAGAGGGGATAGCCAGTGAAAGGTGTTGGTCTGAAAACACCTTTCACTGCAAAGGGAAACAAGTTTTTTTTTTTTAGGCTTTATATAAAAACATGAAAAGCTGGGGAACAGCTAATGAGCTGGCATCATCATTGGTAGATTACCTTGATCTATACTTACGCCATTACATAACAGAGATGTTGGGGTTGTATAATAACAGGTTGTGGTGATATGGATTACAATCATGGTGATTTTGTCTATATTATCAATATAGTATAAAATGTGAAGACTGTCTTAAAGACATCAGATGCAACCCTGTAAGCTACAAATAGACAAGATGCTTGAAAACAGGAAAAAAATATCTTCGTCTCTGTCATTTCTTGACAGCTCAAATACATGTAAAAATAAATCAGGCAGAGACCAACTTGTAATTTTCCTGGCTATACACTTCTATTTTTCTTGTTTAGCCAGGTCTGTAAAAAAAAAAACAACAAAAAAACACCTTCATATTTAAAATAATTTTTGCCTAAACCTGGTGAAAATTCAACATTATGCTGTTCCCTCTCAAGTGTTGTTTTTTTATCCTGTAATTTGAAGGAACTTCATCTATATGCCCCAGACAAGAGCCAACACCACACACACACACACACACACACGCACGCACGCACGCACGCACGCACGCACGCACGCACACAGATGCGCACACAAAAAACCGTGTAAAATTGCACATGGGGTCAGTATGACCCCGCTGGACTACGCACAGAGTAAAAAAAACACTTGGGGTCTAAATGTCCCCGTCTCTTAAGACCATGGGAGGGTTAAATTGGTAAAAACACACACACACACACACACACACACACACACACACACACAAAGATTTTCATTCCCAGCTGCTTAAGGTTCAGGATGTGTTAAAGGAAAGCTCCTATTAATGGTAGCCCATCATTTCCTAATTGTTATTCTTATTAGAGTTGTCATGTTTAATCTGCAGTGCCTTAATTTGATGCCTTCAAACAAAATCTGCAACCGAGGACTCAAGCTTTTAACCATCACTGCCACATATGTCTGTTCGTGTGCCAACTATAATGTTTGTTCTCAGAGGGGAATTTGGATAATCACTGCTTAATGTGTGAAACTCCACCTTCTGCTCTCCTAGCTCTTATAAAACTCACCCTGATTATGTTAAAAATTTGTTTGATTTTAAGGCAGATATTAGACAGAGGCATCTCTTTGTGCCAGATGTAGAATAAAAAGAGTGAGCAAGCCAAGAGCCTACTCCTTTTTTCCTGGAAACGTTGTTTTTACATTGACTGAGTGCAGTAAACGACTTTGTATTTATTTCAACTACTTTTTGTCAAGCACAGTTTTAACTGATCACCAAGGACAGGGACAGTCAAAAAAGATGTAGCATTGCTGATAGTGAAAAAAAAAGAAAAAAAAAAGCCTTTTCACTCCTTTCACCATTGCATCTAGTTCCTTTTGTGTTTCTTGTTCGAGCTAAAAGGAGCGCCCTACATTTAGAAATGCCACCTTAGCTCTATTGTTGTTTTGCAAATTCCATTTCAAATTCAGTGGAAGCCAGCCCACCCACATCCCAAACCCCCGTTTTTATGCTCAGTTACCACAAGCGTTATAACACGGCCTCATCTGGAGGGAAAAACTGTGTTTTGAAGTTGTTGGGGTTGTTTTTCTTCAATTCAATCCTTTTACATAGAACTGCATTCACAACATAGATGCTGAGAAGCTCAACATCCAGAGTTAAACACAGTTCCTGCCTTCCACCTCACATTCTGGATTTTACTGTGCTCTAAATACAGAAAATTGTGGACACTTTCAGGTATGAATGAATGCCCATACAAAGCACAACACTTTAGTCTCATTCAAAACATGGCTGAAAACAGGCATAGAAAATGTGTATTAAATGTAATATGACTGAATTTAAAAACACAGTAGTGAATACAACATACTTGGTTAAACATATGAATATGTCTTCAAAATAGAAAGTGCATTTTATATATTTGATCAATTATGTAATAGGGATTTAATTCCAATCTGTGCCTTTCTTAATTTGTCTTGAACTTCCATTCTTATTTATTTTAAATAATATTTGGAACAATGTTTTTATTTCAACGCTGAACTACTGAAGCACAGAATACTAAGCTCTGTTCTTGTCTGCTGAAAAAGCGCAATCTCTTTTTTTCCTAGGCAAATTCAAGGAAAGTTACACAAAAGTCGGCCTACAAAGAGAAGATGGGAGCGGGAGGGGAGGGAAATCAGGGCAACGATTTGAAATTCCATCTATGAATAAAATGAAGGTTAGAAAGTTTTGCGTAGGCATAAAGCATTCTAAGTGTGTGTTTTTTTTTTTTCCACTGCTGGATTAAAGGATGTATGAATGAAATGTTTCTCCCCCATAAATCTGTGTCAGTCTAGGTCAGGGGTCTTCAATTCCTGGCCTCGAGGTCTGGTGTCCAGTTACTTTTAGATGTCTCTCTGCTTCAACACACCTGAGTCAAGTAATGAGGTCTTTAGCAGGACTCTGGAGAATTTAACTGCATAGTGAGGAGGTACTTCAGCCATTAGCTTCAGCTGTGTTGTAGCAGGGGCAAATCTAAAATTGGCTGGACACCAGGTCTTGAGGCCTGGATTTGAGGACCTCTTATCTAGGTAGTGACCATCTGCTATGTAGTGGCTATGTAAAGTTGACCAAGTAACAGGTGTCATATGTAAAGGGTATTTATAGTCTTAGTTTTACCTTATAGGAACATTTGGGCCTTGTTCACATTTTTTACATACCCATCTATGGATTTATGCATTTAGTTACCAGAAGCTCTTAAACTGGAAGCTGCTGGCAGGGTTGCTGCTTTCTGTTGTATTACTTTTTATATCTTTCCTTATAGAAACACTTGTCACACTGTTTATTAAAAACTTTTACACGCAATGGTACAAAAGTCAGAACATGTATTCAAATGTATGCTTGCAAATGAGTTCTCGCTATGTGCAGGCATGATGTTAACACCGAGGTGACTAATAGCTAACAACAATTTTAGGCCCCCACACACGCAGTGTACATGCATAAATTGTAAAAATAATACAATGTTGCAGTTTGATATGTTTTATTGTGGCTGGACTCACACTTCTGATGAGACATCTGTTCAGTGTAATGAACTTGGGGTGCAAGAAACATACTAAAGCTCTAAAACTAATTTCCATAAAAAACACGCCCTCTGCTGATTAGGATTCACATTAACGCTGTGCAGCATCGTTATTATTTCCAAGTTCAACCCTTTGCTGTTGTAGCACCTTTAGCCACACTATGCGAGAAAACTAAAATGGAGGGTGCTTGGGTTCGCACACCAATGACCTAGTTTATGACAAATATGACCCAGAGAAACATTAGAATTTTAGGCAAAATGATTCAGCCTAACTTTATTAAATTAAAGTGACAGGAAAACCAAATATTTAGTCACCACTGTGAACTTTAAAGTTGAAAGACCCTTCAATAAAATCTAAAGAATCTAGACATAAGGCAGAACAAATACAATATCAATGGCCACATTTTCCCTTGAACCAGGGCACAACACGAAATGTCCACTTACATCAGTATAAGTATGTCCACTTATACATGCCTATATGTATAGTAAGTATGTATAAGTTACAGTTACAGTAACAAACTCTAACTGTTTGTTACTGTCACAAACAGTTACCTTGTCCCTATGTCACACTAATATTTCTTTAAATTGCAATGTTTGCATAAAATGATGCTCTTAGTCGAATTACAAACAATACAGTTTTAATTACTAAGGAAATTACTTAATTGCTGCCTTTACCCTTTATATTATTTTAACATTAAAGTAAGGGAAAATCCTATTGTATTTCATTCAGAAATAAGAATATGAAATCCTTAGTTGTCACCAATGCTATGCAATAGTAAATAAATGTTTGTATTTGTGTCCTGTCTTGAACTATGTAAGATTTCTATTAACCTTAACATACAGGAGCAAATTACAGTAACCATTTACCACAGGTCGACACTGTCATAGTGGACAGATAGTGTATGGGGCAGTGTTATGTATTCTTCAGCAGCATAGTTCCATTTTATAGCACAAACTAGAAGCTATGTTGCCTTCAGTTGTTATATATCAAACATAAGTTACGGATTTGGCACCTTGATATTGTTCTCTGTATTTTTAATCATGCCTGGACCATGAACAGGGTAAAGAGTGTGAGCTACACCGTGCATGGTCCAGGCAGGGGTGAACTGACCCTGCATGCGCTTTTACGATTTTTTTTTAGTCTTTTTTTTTTGGTGGTTTTGTTAACTCACCTCTACTGCTGGCCTGCAGGAGACGAGCGGGAGAGTTGCAAGGGAGGGTTGCTCTGTAGGGCAGAAGTTCAGCATGGAAACTGCAGCTCCAAGGAGGAGCTGTGTGGAAAAAGCTGCACTCAGTGAAAACAAGCCTTTTGCACGCCCAAATGTCTACAGTAGCCAGGCTTGTTTTATTTAATTTAGAAAATGTTTAAAATATTGAAGCAAAGCAATGCTACTGAATGTGAGAATATGTTGGCCTGTGGCTGGCCTAGTTGGTGTTGGATCATCTCTTTCAAAACAAAAAAGACAGAAAGTTTTTTTTTTTTTTTTAAATAATCACAGAACTAAATTAACTAAGCCGTGATCTGCCAACTGGAGAAATATTTGCCACCAGGGGGAACAAATAAGTTGTTACCAGGAGCAAAACAGCTTTCAAGGGAAAACATTATTGATTTGTATTTAAAATGTATTAATACATTATAACAGTTAGAATGTATTAAAAACATTATATAAAATGGCTTTTAAATTAAGTGTACATTGTTGTTCATATTCTTCTTTTTAATTCTTTATTGTTTTATTGATGCTTGGGTTGTATTGTGCATACACTTGCTCCAAGTAGGAGATACCAAATTGTGAGATTGTAGAGTACACAGCGACGCAAAGCAGGTTTTTATGTTTTAGGATTAATGGTCGCTTACAGGAATCCCTGAGGCTGATAAATGAGTTTATGTCGACATAGAGCTTTTATTTGATCCGCCTCACATTCTCTGATGTCACTGTTTCAGAAACAAATGGCAGCAAATTACAGTAAGCAGTTCTCAATCTCTGTATGCCATTTTGTTTTGCTGTCAGTTTATGTGCAACATTTTTAAAGTTGTGTGAGAAAACACTTCCACTCATCTTATCCATCTAAAATCTTTCAGCATGACTAAGTTTAAAACATTCAATTTGTTTGTTAAATGTGTTTCCATACCCAGAACCGCTGGTATGAATACATGTACTGTTACATCACTATTTTCAGTACATATTTTGGTTGAAATGCACATTGCTACTAAGCAGTCACACACATTTCAAGTTTTGTGCTATATTTCAACTATTTTTAGGCTGCATTATTTAAAAGATGAGATTAAATAAGATAGGGTTTCCCTAAACAATTTACTGAATGCTGCCAAAAAGAAAAATTGAATTGTGCTTGCATTTAACTGTGTGGATTTAATACATTTTAAAGTGATCAAACAAAAAATAAATCTAGGGCAAACCTTATTAATCCTTTTCTTTTCCTCACTCTTGCGCAACAAACATGCGCACACCAAGCAGAATAAATTTGTGAATCACAAAAAGAGGAAAAAAAAAGGAGAGAGCTCAAAAGGGTTATCAAACGGAACAGGCATGTCTATCCCATTATCTCTTCCCTTGCAGCTCACCCTTAACCCTCTTCACAGCCTCCTCAAAAAACCTTTTTAGAAATGAGAAGATTCTCAGAAATGGCTGCATTGCCAACAGCACAGCTTCAACGCATGGATGGTGGGTTTTAACCACTGTGATCTCACAGATCAGCAAACAAACAGCATGCTATTACAAGATATTCTGCCAGGAACCGGAAGAGCATTTTACAGGATTTGGAGCCTGTCGGATGTAAGAAATGCATAAGTTTTAACAGCTAGTTAAAGTGCATGGACAATAAACACACCTGTAATATTGTGGGTGTGTTTTTGCCTAAATAAATCTACAACATTAATATGCAATTTGTTTCAAATTATTTGTCCTGGGTTTTTTGTCACTACTTTTTTTGTACATAATTTGAAGTCTTTGCTTTAAACATGTGCTTTTATAAATCTTCTTCACCTAAATTAATGCAGTGGTATTTCCTGTTCTCATTCTTGATTTTTTGTTTGTTTTTCATTTCCTCTCACTTTTATCTCAAGTGTCTTGCGTTGCTCTCATTGTGTTTGAAAAGGCTCTTTAAACAAAGACAGACTGAAAAGGGAGAATGAATTCTCCCTTAAAAAAATCTGTATCATAAATAGTTTGATTTCTTTTCATCTTCATTTAATTATTTCAATTGAGAAAAAATATTGAGATTGAGAAGTTAGGATTGTGGGGATAAAGCACAACCCACATACAAAAGCCATAGTCCTTGACGCGAATGTCACAGGTTCAAGTCCCGACCTGATGACGTTTGGCGCATGTCTTCCCCCCAAATTTTGTTGGCCATTTTCCTGTCTGATTATTCTCAAATAAAGGCTGCCTGGGCCAAATAAATAAATAAATAAATACAAATAAAACAGATTTTAGGTCTGGTATTGTGTTTGAATGTTACAACCAGTATGTAAAGATCATCATAGTAAGATTACACTAAAATTCTTGGGTGACACAGAAAGACCAGAAGCATCCAGCAAAACTGGCTTCTCTTCATAAGTAGCACTTTTAGTGATACAATAGCANCCTGATATCGTAACGGACTGAATGTTGTGTTTTTAACATAATCTCTGCTCGGCTTGCGGGGCGCAGGCGGTTGCCACGGCAACGGGTGGCTTAAACGACAAAGAGACAGAAAGTAAAAAGGTAGGAGTGGCTTAGAGTTGATCACCTGTTCGGGTTGTTTTACCTTTGTTTACCTTTGCTGTGGCTCATCACACCTGCTGTAGTTTCTGAACATTCAATAAACGACAAACTTGGACTAATTACCTCATTTGTTTGTGAGTATACGTCACAACAAACATCAAATAGGACAATATATTTCATTAAGTTTTAACAAATTCTACCGTGATAATTATGTGAAATTAAATTAATTATATCCCAACTTCCGAAGATTTGCCTTTAGCTTTTCTGGGCTCTTTGCTTAGTTTCTCATATTTCAGTCATCAAACCAAAGTTCAGATCTACCATGACTGACTGACACCTGCTGGTTTGCAACCAGCTTCTGACTGAGAAACCAGTAACCTGCTCCCAGTGTCAGAATCTCACTGAGGAAGAAACTGCGTTAGGTTTTCTGTCACTTTATTATTTCTGCTATAACTTATGTATATTTGCATATAAAATAAGTCAATAGAGTTTAATTTGCAATTTTTATGTCTTTGTGTCATGA